GATAAGGACTGGCATTCGCAGTACAATTTGGGCAGGGGGAGGAAGCTTAGTGCAAGGAAAACGCACATGTTGTCTAACCAAACCACTGAACCAGCATATATTAACTTAGTTTCAGATTCCTCCATGTGAAATGTCTCTTTTCCCCTAAAGGCCCTCAGAAGAAGGATCCTGGAGATTTCACACCCCATTGTTCCTGTGAAAGGATTATAATGTATAGGTGACCCTTACAGCTAAAGAAAACACTGAATCAAGTCACTTACATCTGACCTTTGGAGTGGCTGCTGTGATGTCATTACTGTTACAATTTTACACAAGATTAGGCATGTAATTATCTGTTAAATAGTGAAGGGTGGCTTGCCTTGCACAGCTAATGAAGCAGGCAGCATTAATGATATCACATATGGGTAGCTCCAAGGCACCGGCATTCTGAAACATTATGAAATCATTCAAACTTTTCCAGAGAAAAAGACCTCTCCTTCCTTCCCATACACCCTTCTGTGCATTGTAGCCACCCCTCTCCATTTTGAAGGCTGCCATCACAAAGCCTTCACTCTGACTAGGTGAGTCAGGAGATGCGTAGCTACCTGTGGTGATGCTGCTACTATTCATCCTACCTGAGAAGGCTGTATATCACCTCAACTGTATGCTCAGCTGTGTTTAGTTTAGAGCAACGTCTGTGATAACCAAGCTCCTCCAGGTCTCCCAATGACTATGGCAGTGGTTTAGGCTATATCAGCGCAGCGTAGGTCCAGCTGCGTCACTCAGCTGCCCTATTACAGTTCTTTTAGTTTTAGCCATTCACACACCGTGTGTAACTTTACCTTTCAGTAAGTGACACCGACAGGAGTGATAGGACTGTGTGTGAACAGAACCTTAGAGGCCTTCCTCCTGAAGATTTCAATGAGTCCTCACAACTGCTTCATATGAACAGACTGAGTAAACTGATGCTCAGGCCAGGCCTCAATTTATAAAAATGGACACTAAATATGGTATTGGATGCCACAATTTTCTGTTTGCTAACTGAGGCCCCCAATGTTAGAGGCCATTTTAGTCAAGCTGAGTGTCACAGGGCTTGTCTACACTTAAAACGCTTCAGGAGCACAGCCGCAACGTTTTAGTGCGTCAGTGTAGACACTACCTACACCAATGGGAGGGGTTCCCCTGTCATCGTAGGTAATCCACCTCCCAGAGAGGCGGTAGCTGCATTGACAGAAGAATTCTTCCGTCTGCCTAGCACTGTCTACACAGGGACTTTGGTCAGCTTAACTACACCACTGAGGGATGTGGATTTTTCGCAACCCTGAGCAACGTATTTATGTTGTCCTAATTTTCTAGTGTAGACCGTGCCTTACTCATGGCTGCACAGTGAGTCAGTAGTCAAGCCAAGAATAGGACCCAGGAGTCCTGTATCCCAAGTTCTCTACTCTTATGGCCAGGGCTGCTGGAACAATTTGTACAGTGGGGGTGCTGAGAGCCATTGAACCAAACTGTAAACCCTGTATGTAATGGAAAACACTTCAAACCAGCGGGTGGGGCAGCACCCCCAGCACCTCCAGTTCCAGCACCTATGCTGACCGCTTGAAAACTCTCCTTAATGGGTCATCAGATTGATTAGATGCTGGTAGCTTCTATTTCATCCTCCAAGCCATAGTTATTTTAGTCACAAATGCCTTTTCTTATACAGGTTTCAGAGTAACAGCCATGTTAGTCTGTATTTGCAAAAAGAAAAGGAGTACTTGTGGCACCTTAGAGACTAACCTTTTTTTTTTTCTTATACATTGTTCCCCTAATCCTTGACTACAGTTTTTTGCTCAGGTGAAAAGGAAAGAAAAGACTGTTTAGGTGATCAGCTACCACAGTGACAGGGGATAGCTCAGTGGTTTGAGCATTGGCCTGCTAAACCCAGGGTTCTGAGTTTAATGATTGCTTCAGGGGCCATTTAGGGATCTGGGCTAAAAATTGGGGATTGGTCCTGCATTGAGCGGGTAGTTGGAGTAGATGACCTCCTGAGGTCCCTTCCAACCCTGATATTCTATGATCAGGGGTTAAAGTAAGGAGACTGGGAGAACACAGCTTCCTTTCTTCTTCCTTGTTTGTTTAAGCAGTGCTCTCCCTCCTCTTTGGCTGGTGCAAAGAGCTCTCCTTCCTGCCTAATCTGCGTCCACCGATGAGTGTGATACAAATACTCAGATTACTGATTTATTTTGTGGTAGCGCCGAGGAGCCCCAGTGATAGACCATGATCCTAGTGCGCCAGGCACTGTACAAACGCAGAACAAAAAGATGGTCCCTGCCCCAGAGTAACAGATGGATTTTATTAATTTCAGTGTGATTTTGAGGGTGCTCAGTGCTAACAATAGGGCACTGAGCACTTGCCAAAAAGCCCACTCACTGATATACATTGTAGCTTTTTATGGTGTCACCCCAAGGCCTAAATTGGCAGAATGTTTTGGTGGTGGTTTCTCTAAATGTCAAGCCTCCTTCCCACTCCTCTGCAAAGTTTGAAGTGAAAAGACCCAGGGTTTTGTTTGCCCCATTACTGAAATAGGGGTCCAGCTGTGAAATTCTGATCCAAATCCAGATTTGGATTCCAGCCCTCTCACACTCCAAGCTGAATTTCAACTCAGACCTAGCTCTGGTTTTTTCCCTCCAAATCCGTCTCAGTCAAGTTGACAGCTACGCAAATTCATGAATCAGCCCTTGTATGACTTTGTAGATGGTGGCGTTACAGCATGTTTTTTTACACAGACAGCACTCTGGAATGCATGTGCACCCTCAGTGGAAACCACAAACAGCCGCGTTTATTTCTCAGTGAGCTAGGGAATGGCCACTGAGATATGAAAAGCTTCTACATTAAGGCACTTAGAATCCAGACTATTTCATTTTTATTATTGAGTCCTGCTCCACAGAGCAATAAATGCACACAGCGCTTTACAAATCATAGAATGAGATATGGCCTCTGCCCAAAGGGACTTCACAATCAAGGGCCCGATCTGGTGAGATGCTGAGCATCATTAAGTCACTTGTTTGTAAGGATGAGTGTTCAGAACCAATTGAGATATAGTTAGGTTGGGAAGGATTAACTTTTTATCAGTGAATGTCGGTAAACATTGATTTTACCATATGCACACAAAGTGACAAAAAATATTTAATGATGATAAATAAAATTGGCAAAGTAAGAAAAATTATTTTGAGAACTTATTAGGGATTGATTTAAGGATATTTATTTTGTATACTTTGACAGGTGAGGTTGACAACTTGTGCTTTAACGGTTAAAAAGCTTTAACTCCTTCAATCTCAACATCTACTGTCATTAAATAATTGTCTGACTCCCCCCTGCCACAATTTCCCACAACTGTGAAAATTTAAAGCAATAAAACATGTTAAATGCATAAAACCCATAATTTGGTGAAAATTCAAATAGATAAAAAAATACAATGCTTAAAAATAAACATCCATCAAAATTATAAAGAAGTAAATTGGATCCTGGCAAACCTAGGTAGAGATGAATTAAAAGGGAGAAGTGAATCCAAACCAAAACCCTAGATCAAAACTCCTTTACATTTCTCCCCTCTTTAAATCATAAGCTCTGAAAATGAAATGCTACTGGTATCATGCCCTGCCATAGAAAAGAGAAAGCCCCGGGCAGCAGTTTTGCTCAGGGAGTGTTTAGGGAAATCACTGTAAATTAGAAGGCAGTAGGAAGGAGCTATGGCAGGCGGAGGATAGAGAGCCTGCTTGGCAGACATGAAGTGGGAGGTTGTGCCAGGCGGGCAGTGGGTTGGGGGTATGAAAGAAAACATAAATCTTAAGAGTGGGAGAATTTGCTGAAGGGAGTGTAGATTAAGGGGACAGTAGGAGGAAATTAATTGGAGTCCATTTAAAAAACAAAATCCTGGTTCTGCTTCTAAGACAACCATGACTCTGTCAGCTAATCAGGTTTGGAACAATAAATCCTTTTATAGTCTATAGTGATATCAGATAGACTTCCAAAAGAATAAATAGCTCCAAGTGCTGCAACTCCATCTTTACTGAAGCAAGGTACCCAACTGGGAATTTTGACTGATTTAGGGTTGCAGGACTGAGCCCATAATGAACTGTAACAGATATATAACCTGTTAATTAATATACATCATGTTGACATGCTGGGGAAAAGGTATAATGCTGGCAGGGACTCACCAGAAAGATCAGCCCATGGATGATCTTAGCCTGATCTTATTAATCATGTTTATTATATTAGTGCCTAAGAGCCAGCTAAGAATCCTGGCAATCAAAGAGTTAATCCATTATATGAGCAATAGAAAAAGGAAAACAAACTGTCCTCAACATTTATTCTGCATGCATCAATGGAGCACCTAGTCAAGTTGCTATGATTCTCTCAAGCAGCGCCAATCAGAATGCCAGCTGGGAGAGGGACTGTAACTGCAGTTAGATTTAACTAGGAGTTTGGTGACAGATCAGTGCATTCTGAATACATCATGGGCTCACATAATTATTTAAAATCTATGGCTGCTTAGAACAAATGTATCAAGAGGTCTCAGGCCAAGGAGGAAAGCATACAAAAGTGATGGGAACAGCAAAAGATTCCAGCCTATTGTTTAGCCAGCGCTTGGAGTTCACCCCAAGGTGAAGTTTTCATTTTCCAGAGTGTGTGCAAGGTTGATCCAACAGCAAAGCAAGCGTTTGTCCGGGCAGTAAAGCACAGGCAAGGAAACGACATCTTATCTCTGATGTGAGCCAGTGCTAGCAAAACAAATGAGCGAGAGAAAAAAGTAGAAGATAACTTTGTGTCAAGCAAAGCTCCTGGAAGGGTACAGAGAGGGCATCTCTGTTATTTTACATATCGCCTCGAATAATCAGAAGGCCCACCTGCTTGGCCCAGAGCCCACTGAGCACTGCCAAGTGGATAGGAATCCAGGCCCGGGAACTTAGCACGATGGACACAACATGGTTTGGTGTGTTTCAAATGAATACTGACAGCGACTATCCCTCTCCTTCTAGGTCCTTCCGTCATCCCTCCAAGACCTCCACAGTAAGGAAAGGCACCACTGGGCAATCCTCTAAGATGTTTATTTGGACCAGTGGCCGGACCTCCACATCTTACAGACATGACGAGAAAAGGTAAACTGCAATGGCACTCACTGTGTTTTGTGGTTTTTAAACCAGGGTCTCTCTGAAGCATCAGCCCCTGGCTTTCCCCAGGTGGTTGTGAAGGGGGAGGAGGGAGGGAGGGACGGATGCAAGAGGCCATTGCCTCCCAGTATTACCCTGCCAGAGACTTCTAGGATAGAACTGCTTGATAAATGGAAGGGGTTTCTGGTGCAGCACCCCAAAAGGGGTCTGATCAGACATGCTGGATGTGTGTCCAAGGTCCTTCTGGTCTCTCCCCGCCCCCCGGTCACTAGCACTTAGAGTTCCGTTCTGAGGTTGGCACACCCTGAACCTTTTTACAGATGTGCTAGTCACCACACATGAGCACAACCCCACCACCAAGGCTAGCAACGACATTCTGTTTTCCGCAGGCATCATGCCTCCGGCTACCATTGCTCAAGCAACACTCTCCCCAACACTTTTGCTGTCCAACCCAGAATGCCACTCTAAATAAATTCCATGCATCTCACTGATACGATGCACATGCTGAAATTAGAGAGTTGTCATAGATGTGTGTGTGTGTAAATAGAGAGGACATGCAGTACAGTATTAGATTTTTATTTTGTTTTGTAATTTTGACGGATAACAGCATTAATTTTTAAGCATTTTTCAATTTTTTTCCAATTTAAATGTTCACGGTTGTGTAAAATTATGGGTTTCAAGCATTTTTTCAGTTTTTATCAATTTAAATTTTCACAGAACTTATGGGGGGTGGTCAGACAGTAATTATGTAATGGCAATAGCTGAAATTCAAAAAGTTAAAGCTTTATAACCATTAATACACACATTGTCCACATCACATGTCAAAATATACGAAGTAAATATCCTGAAATCAAACTGTAATAAGTTCTCAAGCACAATTTTTCTTACTTGCCTATCTGTAAATTTAGATAGAAATATTTTTGTCAGTTTGTGCGTGTGCAGCAAAATCAATGTTTGCCGACATTTACCGATACAAATCTAATCCTTCCAAGCCTATAGGTATTGCACAATCACTTAGGGCATGAGAGTGAGCTAATTATTATGAAAAGGCCAGCTCATCTGAGTGATGCTGGTGCAGGGGATTGGTTGACGGAGACAAAGGAACAGTGCAAGTTACTAGAGTTCCTTCAGCAGTTGGGAATTACATACAAGAGAATGAAAGGGAAGGAGGGGAGAGGTTTAAAGTCCATAGACAAAGGCATTGCTCAGTTGGGAATGAAAGAAGTTAAATATCACTGATGAGAGAACAATTGTTCGCTAGTGCCCTGCCCCACCCCTCCAAAACCTCTCCTGTTTGTAGTGAGATTTGCCAGGCGACCTTTCTTGCCACCACTCAGTTGCATTTCCCTTTTTTCTCTCTCCTCCATCCCCCTTGCACTGGCTATGAAATGTAATCACAAAAAGTCAGCCCTTGCTGAAGCAAAAACAGAGATAAATGCATCCACAACCCTAGTGGGTTCTACTGGGATATTACTGCAGCTGGCTGGCCTCTGCTTTGGAAAATGTCCTTGTGGGGTTAGGTGCTCAACCTGCAGCAAACCTCCTGAGCTCGTCTGAAAATCCGCCCAGTTATTTTGGTGCTTAAATGGGAACTGAGCTCTTCTGAAAATCTGGCCCCACGTGGAGCCTGTGCTCTTCTGAAAATCTGATCCTATATAGCTGTATTTTTGTAAAATATTTAGGGGGAGATTTTCAAAGGCAAAGAGGCCAGTTTTGCACCCGATTCTCATTGACTACCAGTGGGATTATGGCATTTTCAAAGGCACTGCCCTCTGTGCCTTTGAAAATGCCCCCCTTAAATGCTTATTGGTCTGAAAAAATACATTCTTCTGTATTTATACCCAGAACTGGAAAGGGCTGTCCAAGGTTATCCTTGTTATGGACATTTACAGGAGATCTGATTTAATGAGCCCCACACAACTCCCACGGGCTCCCACTGATGTTGTCAGTGCTCAGCACTTTTGACAATCAGACCCTTCATACCATTCTGCAAAGAGACACAAACAGTCAGTTCTTTCCAGCACTGGGTAGTTATTCAGCAGTCAATACCACCTGCATCCAGTGTCGGATATACGCTGTAACCCAGCAGCACAGACAATTCAGGAGTCTAAGGGAGTGAGGCACTGTCTACAGTATGCCTTGATTACATTCATTATATTCTGTTTCGTAATGAAACAGCAGCAATATGGGCCCAGTGCTACTTCTGTTCAGTTCAATTGGAAGGGTGACCAGCACAGCCCCCGCTGCGTGCCAGCTCTCATCCAGCAGGACCCTGCCCCCCCAGTCCCGTTTCCGGCTGGCACTGGCTGCATGCAGTGAGCTGCGGTGGCTGGTGAGTGCAGGCCGGCACGAGGTGTCAGCCAGTTACGTGTCACCTCGGCTGCCCAACCATCGGCCCTTTACGTGCTCCCCCTCTCGCTATCCTGTCTCTGCTTTGCCCCTTCACACACACCTTAGCCCTGCTGCTCCTCCATATTCCTGCTCCCACACACACCCCCACACACCCCCCACGGGGCACATCCAGTGCTGTGGAGAGAAGCAGCCTGTGACTGGAGTACTCAGCTCACCAACAGCTTGGCCGGCAGGTTCCTTCATAGAATCATAGAAGATTAGGGTTGGAAGAGACCTCAGGAGGTCATCTAGTCCAACCCCCTGCTCAAAGCAGGACCAACCTCAACTAAATCATCCCAGCCAGGGCTTTGTCAAGCCAGGTCTTAAAAACCTCTAAGGATGGGCTGGTGCCCCAGGAAAGCCCAAGATCTTCTGGCCCAGGGAACTGGCCAGGAGGAGCTGAGCCTTGAATGTGCTAAAGCCCCGCCCAGTACTGGCACAGGGAAGCCTCTCTGCTCCTCAGCTAAGCTCTGGAGTGGCAGGAGGGGAAGCAATTTCCAGCCTGGTCATGCCCCGAACCTGCAGGCTCCACAGCAGGTCCCCGAGCAGGGGCTTAGCACCCTTTTCACCCCCACTCCCTGCATGCCCTGGATCCTGCCCCCAGGGAGCATGGGGCTGCTCCATCCTCTAGGCACCCTCCCCTGCTGAGCCACCTCTCTGGCTGGGTTCACTGAAGCCTCTGCAGTCAGGTTCCCTGGGCCCTGGTGCACAATGCATCCTTAGGGCTTAACCCCTTCTTGCTCACAGGAGGCAGCTGGGTTATGTTGGTGACCAGCAGCAGCCTGGAGGTGTTAGCTGTCTTGCGACACTATGCGGGCAGAAAGGGACAAGCTGCTTTCAGCTGGGGGAATGGCAGAGAGGAGAGAGATGAGCTCTTCAAAGACATAGGCCAGGTCATCCCTTTCCCCCAACCCCACTCCCCTGCGGCTGGAAGCAGCTCCTGTCCCTTCCCTCCCGCACAGTGCCGAAAGGCTGCTGCTGGCCACATTCTGGTGTGAACCCTGGCAGAAATCGGAGGGGGACATGTGACACACACACACACACACACACACACACACCACGTGTTGCCTTGGGAAGACATGGCGCCAGGTACCAAGAGAGGTGGGTCTGTCCTAGGGGCTCCGCCAGGCATGGAGGGTGGAGAGCGTCGGCCAGGGAGGGTCGGGTCAGTCGGTCACCCCCCCGTATGGGAGAGGTGTACGGGAGTGTGTGTTTGTGTCACCTCTCCCCATGTGAACCCTAAAGCCTTAAAGATAAGAAGGTAAATAAAAAGAACCCAATTACGCAGTATTTCTTTTTCACAGGGGCTCAGTCAACTTGATGTTAATTTAAATGTTTGTACTGCATAGTTCTGATCGATTGCCGTTGAACTCGCTTGAATACAAGTAATTTTACCAAGTGCCCTGTATTCAGCGTAGGGAAATATGGTCACTCTATCAATGGGAGTTTTGCCATTGGCTTCAGTGGGAGCTGTTGATGGCCTTCTGTGATCAGCAGCTGCCATTACACATACAACAGTTACTACCTCTCGTTGCACTGGCAAGACAGTAGTTACCATTGCTGCTTTTGACACAATGGATCTCGGTTAATTTCCCAGTAATCTCCGTACACCCATATCTAAGGTGCTCTTAGTGCCATGCAAGTAATAAATGATATTCTGTGAGGGTGAATGGGATGGAATAGAAAACCGAAATCAGAGCATCTCAACTACGGTCTCAGAAATACAAAAGGAGAGGAGTTAATGGAGTGCTAACAGGAGGAACTCTATGCTTTGCAGTGATTTTAGTACATACAAGGTCACCTGCAAAATCACCATCTCAAATAAGGAGTGAATTGTAGAGAAACAACCCCCAAAAATGATCCCTTCATAGGAATTTGTTTTTCAGGCATCATACAGGGAGATTATGGGATGGAGCAATAAGATGCTCCCATAACAAAACCCCACAACCACAGACTTTTGAGGGGGCGTATCTTCAAAAATAAGCACCTAATGCTCCAATCCTGCAACCATTTTTATGCACCTGAGCAACTTTACACATGAGTAGGCTACTCTCATGTAAAGTTACTCACAGGCATAAGTATCTGAAGGATTAAGGCCAGAAACTGCATATAATGCATGCTCATTTTAGACATTGTTTTTTTCAAATGTCACCCTTTAAGTTTTGGGAGCCCTAAAGAAGGCTGTTTAAGCACTCGCTCATTTCTCAATTGTCTTCTATTATTTTTAGCCCAAGTTCCTTTGCTTGGCAAACCTGAGGAATGTCTTTTTGGAGGGTTTTATGTGACCTTGTTTGGCCTGATCTAATGCAATGGGAGTCATTCTATAGACTTCAATGGGCTTTGGATCAGGCCCCCAGTTGAGTTTGCTTGTGTTACTACAGTTTTCATTACAACAAACATGATGCAACCACATACAGATGTGCTGTTTTTTTTAAATAAATGAAAGGGACAGAGGCTGCTGAGCACAAAAGGTCACTGAGCGTTTAGCACCGGGAACCTTGCAGGTGAGAGGGAGGTTTGGATTTGACCTCTACATTCAAGGATTTCAGGTACTAAAGACGCCTGGCATGAGGTAATTTGAATGATATCCACATAACAACTGTGATATCAGAGAACTGAATCGGGATTCAAAGTTATTTAGAATAATACAAGCACATGTGTATTCCCATCTGACATCCGCATGACCATGCTGTCAGATTAGGAAGTGTCTAAATTAACTAACCCATTAAACCCCTTAAGGATGAGATTTCTTGGTCTGATTCGTGGTTGTTTTCAAAATCCAAAGTATGTCCTTCTAGCTCGGCTGGTAGATTATTGTAGATTTTCTATGGGAGACGTGAATTAGGGAGGCAATCCTGAGAGTCCTATTCCTCACATCTTCAGTGCGCCCAGACCCTGCCAATTTGGGACCTATTTGGGACCATCCACAGCTCCTAAGGACTGTGTTGGGTGTTGTAAACGATCAACACCTCTCAGGATGGGATCTCGAGTTCTCAGCTGCCAAAGAGAATGTAGGAATTAGCACATACATGGCTATACTGAGTAAGGGCAAGATTTTGCATATAAAATGTAAGATGGGTGGAGAGGAGTAATGCTGGCTGTTTAGAGGGTCTCTGAGCCATTCATCCCTCTAGCACACCCTGCTTCTCCTTTTAAAAAGATATAATATGAACCCCTCTCTAATGTATGTGACAAATTCAGCATATGCACAGGAGCACTGATTCGACCACACCCTCAAGTCAGAAGACCAGACCCCTGAGACTTTAGTGTATAGAAGGATGCATTTGGCAAGGCCCCCTCCTATCACTGTGGCTGGTGCTAAGAGGATGTAGTGTCCTTTGTGATGGAGAATGAACAGTTCTTGACTGTAATGAACATAAACAGGATTCATTATTCAAGCCACTAGATTCGAACAGACCCTAAAGTTCTCCTTGTCTCTCTAGTTCCCAGACTGCCAAGACATAGCCTGTGCGGCCTAGTTTCATTGCATAGGGTCTCCCTAAGCTCTTGCCTGGACTCAGATATCATATAAGGTGCTGACTACACTGCAGAGATACTGGGAATTGAGAGGAAGAGATTCCCTCTGCTCTACCCCCATCCTACACAACACAGCCCTGTGTAATTTTTCTCTTGTAGTAGTCACGTCAGAATGTGCAGTCATCCGAGCTGCATCAGATGAGAGCCATTTGACAGGAGAACCTGGGGATTTATCAGGTGGAAACGGCAACTGAGAAACAGTAGGAGGAGCAAAGACCTTTTGTCCACCTGGGCTCATTTACATTAAGTTCCTTTGTACACAGGGAGAGAGAGGACCTGGGAGAACCCATGTTCTCATGCTTAGGACTTTAAAGAAAACAATTAGACATGTGGAGAGTTATCATATGAGCTCAGTTATTAGAGTGAATCATCAAGATGTAATGGCCGGGATGCATTGATCTGTGACTCCATTTATACACACTGCAGTAGTGAGCTCATTGTGTCCAAGCAGCAACAGGAACAGAAATCAGCTGCCTAAGCATAGCTCTCTATCGGCCCAGTGAGAGCAGCTCCTCCACTGTGCTAATGGTTCACATCTGACAAATCCCACCCAACAGAGAGGCACATATTACACATATGCCCAAACCACTCCATCACACAGCCACATACTACAGAGTGGATTTTAGTAGGATCGTCCATTGTGTTGACCTGAAGGACAGTTGTCCCCGTAAAATAACTTTGCTACTCCAGCTGAAATGAGGGAGTGGTGCTTCTGCTGGTGGCAGGACATGCAGCTTATGGGTTAGTTTGTGATTTGGACTACACACCCACACAAGCGAGTCAGATGTGGGTAAGATCTCCCATTATGCCACTGTGCAGGCTACCCAGGCATCGAGTGAGGGTTCATAGCTGTAAACAGGTGCTACATACCATCTGACTGCTTTCACTGTAAAAGATGGGCCAGGAATGTAGGGAGTGCACAGATCCGTGGCTCCACCCCCTCTTACTTTTTCTGGTTGGTGCAGGGAGAGCATCAGAAAATGCTGCCGGTTTCAACCAGCAGCAAGTTCCCCCACTAACCCGCTGGAGCAAGGGGGAAGCAGGGGAGCATACTTAGTGCTGTATCTCCTGGAGCTGCTGCGTGAGTTGGTGCATCTGACACACCACCACGTTCTCAGATCCGTGCCTCAAGTCACCGTCTAGCCATATATTTGCTCAGTGTTCAACTGTTACCCACACTCACTTATAGCAGCAATTCAGGGGATGAAGACATCACATAAAATGCATCAAATTCTATCTTTTTTTAGGGCTTTTCATCAACAATGGCAACAGAAAAATAGTTGTCAATGCTTCTGGCATGACCTCATCAGCAGATGCTTATTCTCCGTGGTCCCGGGGTCTTGAAAACATAACTGGCAGATTTTCCCCACACACTGCTCAGTTTTCCAGTCACCTTGTAGGTAGATTGTTTCTACAACATACCTTATAGTCCAACTTTTTACCTTTCATTGCACACTTCTTGGCTACAAGCCACATGGGAAACATTTGTAACTATTTTCAATTAGCTGTTTGTTTTGAAATCGTCCATTTAAATCACTTTTATGTTCTGGTGACATTAGAGACTGATTGCACTGTGCCTGGTTTACATCTACAGACTGACATAAGTCAAGCTGTGTGATTGGCTAATGTTCTGGAACTGTATGACTATTGGTACCTTACTGCCTGCTTTCATTTGGAAGCAATGCATATCTTAATAGCAGCTATCAAAGTTAAATACATTTTGATAAATAATAGAAGGAGTGTAACATTTGACTATTATTTTACATCAGTGCTTTTTAAGGCAACAGCATCCAATAAAATCACAAAAGATTCCCCACAACACCACAGAAAATCTCAATAGGCTGAATTACTGTTTAGTTTCCAATGAAGGAAATAGTAGCAAGTCTTTAAGGAACCAGGTTTTATAGAGAAACCCTGGAAATCTAAGGAAGTAAATTAGAAGTGAACTCATAAACTTGGGAAAGAAAATTGTTATCTGGAGAAGGTAATGACTAGAAAAGCTCAAAGAAAAAACAGTTGGCATATCAGTAGTAATAGAAGAAACGTAGAGAGGAGGGGTGAAATCCTAGCCCATTGAAGTCCATGGCAAAACGCCCATTGACTTCAGTGGAACCAGGATTTTACCCATTGTATTTTAGGTATGTTGAAATGTTTGAGCGTTTCTAACGAGAGCTGGGCAAAACTTTTGCTACAAAACACCAAGCCTCATGTGCCTTTTCTAGTTTTGGTTCTCACTATAAACTCAAACTCCGTTTAGATTCATCAGAAGTATTGCAAAGGTTTGGGGACCTGTGGTAAAATTATTTTCTTGTTTCTAGTGGACATGGAGGTCCCATTTATGATTTTCCATTAAAACCATTCTTTTTAAAATGACTGCAGTATTATCCCTGTATGCAGTAGCAACGCTGTTGGAAATTGCATTGTTTGATCTATTAATGTAGATTACATGCGACTGGTTTTTTCTAATAAGAACAAGTGAAATGTGATAGTTTCAGTGTAGATGAGTTGCAGGTTTGTTAGAACCCAAAATAATGCTCATTCTGATGCTGCTCACCTGCCATTTTGCAGACGGTAGAAGATGAACTACTTCCGGGTGGTACTACTGTGGCCATTTTATGGTGGTGCCCAGGCTCAAAGGTATGCGGCTTACATGCATCGGGTGCTGCCTGGAAGATTCAAAAGAATCTTAACAGAAAACACAGAAGCTTATGATCAGCTTCAGGTTTGTCAGTACATTTTAAACCCAAAAAGTTTGAGTGTGTTTGAAATGTACTCAAGTACATCCCTCCCCTGTCACTCTGTCCCCGTGACCTTTGAATCATCAAAGGCCTGGAGATGAAAGGACATAGGAAGTGAAAAGGACTTTCTCAGCTGGAGGGGAGAATAGTTTACTGTATTTTTCTTAATTGCAGGGGAAAAGTAGCTTTGGTGGATAATTTTCAGATAGGGTATTAATTGTAATGCGTAAGAGGTATTCCCATGAGTTACATTTCAAAAATAGAAAATAAGGGCCTGATCCAAAGACTATGGAAGTCAATGGAAAGACTTCCATTGTCGTCCATGGGCTTTGAATCAGACTCCTTTACTAACCCACAGGCAAATGAGAAAGAATGTGTTATGAGGTCCCCTCAGACATTTCTGGGTGAATATTGTCTTCTGGCCTGGCTACTATAATGAACTTAGCCCTGAAGAAAATACCCAGCAAAATGCCTAATAATGTTCAGGGGAATGGGGCAAGAGCTGGAGTTAATGGGTCAAAATTCAACTGTGGAGTAATTCTATTGGAGTCGATGATACATCAGAGATGGATTTACTGAGCTGGCCCAAGTGTCCAAATGTTTATATTTGCAATATAAGGATTTTACCTTTTCAGGAATGACTGTAAAATATTTTGGAAGTGAATTAATTCCCTGCCAGGTCAGAATGAATCCACTGAAAAAGACATCTGAGGAACCCTTCTCACCCATGAGATGGAAGTGGTGGTGGAACTACCCACCCTTTAGAGGGTTCACTGGTTAAATATGAACTTCACATAAGAATGTATTATTTTCAACCTCAGAAATATTTACCAAAAAATCAGGGATCACGATCTACTGGACAAAAGGAAAACAGTCACAGCTCTGAAAGCAGGAGAAGATCGGGCCATACTTCTAGGACTGACTATGATGGTGTGCTCCATTATGATGTACTTCCTCCTGGGAATTACGCTGCTGCGGTCATACATGCAGAGGTATATTTATTATGGTTACACTGTTCCTGGAATTTCTGGTTCGGCTGATTTCATTTCCCTCCCTGCTTTGACCTTTTAATGATTTCTCTTCTCCTCATGCTGCCCTTTGATCAGGATGGCCTGATTCTCCTCTAACTTACACCATTATAAATCAGGAGTAACTCCACTGCAGACAAGTGAGTTGTACTGGTGTAAGCAAGAGCAGAATCAGTGCTACGGTATCTGACAAAACCCTGATCACCTGTTTTAGATTTGTCACTGTTTAATTAGAGTGGGAGGAAAATGAACAGTTTTGGATTCTGAAAACACCTTCTCCATCACAATATAGATTTTGTGTAATATCTTTAACAGCTGGTCTGTGGCCTCCTGGAGTCCATGAACTACGGAGTGGCTATCGCTGTAAAATAGAGCCCCTGTCTATTCAGGGATATGATACTGTAAGTATCAGCAGGGAGCAGCAGTAATATTCAGTGGCCTAGAGAAACAATACCCTTTCAAATGAAAAATGGAAATTTAATTTGGAAAACGGATCATGCTATTTTATAGCATTTAGTTCCCATGTAAGCTAATTCCTTCATTTTAACAAGTAAAATCCTGTTGAAATATAGTAATTTGCTAGAAGTGAGACATCATCTTTCATCGTTATTATACTGCATGTAATTTTTCTGATGTCCTTCCACAGCTTCCCTTCTTAGCTAAGGACCAGAAAGTTTGCCCTCTGATTCACTGGCTGTGCTTCAGAGTAACTTTCAAGTATGAGCCCTACTTAGACTCCATCCTAGACTTGTGATGGAGCTGTCAGCAGTGCTTTTCTATTCTGATCCATGAAGACATGGGAACAAAGAATGTGCCGTTCTGGATTGGACCATCAGTCCATCAAGCCCAATATCCTACCACTACCAGTGGCCAATACCTGATTCTGCAGAGGAAGCGGGGGAAATATCCATTGTGTAATGCTGTACCTGCAGGAAACTATCCCTTCCTGACCTCTGCAATGCTCAGGATGAGCAGTGATGCATGAGGATTAGTTGCCCTGCATCTTATTCCCAGGCATAAAATTATTCATCCCTTTTTAAATCCAGACAGATCTTAAACTTTAGAGACAGAGATCAAGCCTGTTTAAACATCCAAGAGTGTTTACATTTCAAAATCACTCTCTCTCCCAGACCTCCTTAGCAATATCATTGTCAATTATGGAGGCTGTTAATGTCAACATTGCTTTTTTGGAAAGATCAGTTATGTTAGGAGCTATAGGACATATTGTCCAAGTATATCAAAGCACTTTGAAGATATTAATTAACTAAGCCTCAAAACTCAGCTGTGAGATAGGTGTAATTATAACCCTTTTATACATGAATAAAATAAGGTACAGAGAAATAAAAGTGAAGGAGCCAGGAATAGATCCCAGGAGTCTCTGTCATTTCTCCTGCAATAGCCATTAGGCCACACATCTTAAAGAGAACAATTCCCCCCCCCCCCCACACACACACACACACCAAAATACATCTTGCCCTCATGGGCAAAAATCCTACACTTTTTCATAATCATTAACAGAATTATCATGCCATAGTTGAACTTTAATTATCAACCATTTTTAGTACATGGAACCTACAACTATAATTGTTACCAGAGCAAAATACTTAGTAAGAGAATTATCCAGGAGATCATTTAAATCACTTAGCATATAATCTTGTCACATCTTTAGTTAATTCAGATTAACTTTCCTGAGTGTCCCTGTGTAGACAAACCCTGATTCATACTTGGTCCACAGCTTGCAGAGTTTGGGAATACTTTGCTATATCAGGGAGAAGGGTTGACATGTTCTCAAATGAGCTATGTCCCAGCCCTTCTGTGGCAGAAAGATAGGACAGCCTTTGCAATGTAAGCGTGAAAGGTGCCAGAACATGTTGGGGCTCCCAGCAAGGTTCAGAGGAAGACCAATGGGAGAGGGGGACCCCCACTGGACACTAATGGAATTTCCTGAATAGCTGTCAGTTGTGATACTCCAATGACCTTTGTCCCTAAGAAAAGCCTAGTCATAGATTGTATTTTCTTATTTCCATCTCAGTAGAAATAAGGTTCATGATGCAGTACCTATCAGGGAGGTTCAAATGGTACATTGCTCCCTGTTAGGCTCTTATGTACCCAAGATAGACCAGAAATTCTCCAGCATGATTTCTCAAAGTGATTTATCTTCTTCAAAACCTAGTGAGACCTGTACCAGAAGAAAAAGTATTCTGACAAGTAGCTTTCCATATGGTGGTGGAGGGCCATATGGTACAATGTGTCTATGAAACCGTGAAGGTATTTTCTAAGTACTTCACCTTTAAGAGTGAATTGGTCCTCCTACTCTGCCTTGAGGAGTGCACTCTCAGAGTTAATTCAAGATGGCTGCATTAATGAGTGAGCTGTGCAGACCATGGTCTCTCCCAGGCATGTTTTACATTTGTTCTTTGCTTTCTTTGTTCCCTTTAATCTCAAATAAATGTTCTACAAACTAAAAGTTCCTGTCTGCTTTTTGTCTATGGAAGAACATAACACGTGCCCATGCCCAGTCAGTGTGGTGCTCTGTCTCCCTCTAGTAGTGGCTAGGCCAATTAGAGATTGATTAATCTGCTAGAGCCTTGGTTAAGAGACCAGGTTAAATCCCTACTGCCAACAACCCACCCAAGTGTGTTGCCATTACATGCATGTGAAACCACTGTATTTGTATTCCTGAGACATTACCTTCACATGCTACAGAATAATAATCCATTCTATGATGGATGAGCTGTACTGAGAATGTAAGTCCACCCTGTAAGCAACAGTCTCATGAAAGAGCTTCTCCCCCAACGACTTACAGTATCATGTCCCTGAAGGTAACACCCGGCTCTGTTTACTACTTTGCTGTCCATTTTTGCTGTGATTTGTCTAACCTGTCTCTTTTCTACCTAGTGTTTGGACAGAAGAGGCTCAGTGCACACTCCTCAATGCCTCCATCACAGAATCATTTAACTGCTCATTTAGCTGTGGTCCAGACTGCTGGAAAATCTCTCAGTACCCCTGCCTTCAGGTGTACGTTAACTTAACTTCTTCTGGGCAAAAGCTCCTACTTTACCATACTGAAGAGACGATGAAAATTAATTCTGAGGTAAGAACATGGAACAAATTCCATCTCAAATGGATTTCTAGAGGGCTGTTCATTTTGCAGTATCCATTTTCTATTTTAAAGTAACAAGGCTTCCAGCCCCTGCCTTATGTCTCCCAGTAGATCTCTATTCCTCCTTCATAAATGTTCAGCAGGGGCAGCAGAATCAGCTGTGTTAGCTGAACTCTTTTGTTGAATTGCTGTGGGGTGGATTGTGCCTTATTCTGCACAAACATTCCCTCCTGTGAAGGAGTCAGGTACAGCTTCAGTCCTCACACTCCCGAGGTACCAGGCCTAGGAAATTCATGCACAGACACAGTGCTAGAAACTACCAAAGAGGGGTAGAGTAGAATCAGTACAGACCATCGGGTATGTAGAGTCTCTCATGGTAGAGAACAGATTTTAATGATTATAGAGGATTTTTTACTGAGGCTCCTGGATACAGACAAACCCTGTGGTTCTCCCTGGTGTTGCGTTAGCCTGGCAACTTAAGGTATGTCTACACTGCATTTTGAAGTCCGTGGGAGCAAACCTCCCATGCCGGGTTGACAGACCTTTGAAGTTGTAGGTCAGGCTGTGAAGCTTCGGGAGAGAGGTGGGCTTCAGAGCCCACAGTCCAGCCCAAGCTGACTTCAAAGGTCTGTCTACACAGCTATTTTTAGAGTCCTAGTGTGAGCCCCACTCGCTGTCAAACGAGGCTGGGAGGCTCGCTCCCGCAGGCTCCAAAATGCAGTGTAGACAAAAGGTTAGTGTCACCATGCAGGGTCCCCCCAAATCCTGGCCTGGAGTGAATAGCTATGGAGTTGGTTGCTGATTGCCAGAGGGACTACGTGTTACACCCTGTTACAAAGGTATAGCACATACCACTGTTGTGTGTCTCTCCTGCAGAGTTAGGACCTGCCGGAGGCAAAGTGCCCCCTGGGAGATGCTGCTGGTCTGCTGTCAGTCCTCCCCTTCTTTTGCCAATGCGGGCAGTGACTTAATGACACAATCTCACCCTGAGTGTCTGTCACATTGATATTCTAAGTGAGCTGTGTACAAGTCAATGCACATTTTTCATATGGTTGTACTTTATACTCTAACACCTCTAGCAAAGTAAATACAGCGTCCATGGTAGTGAGAATAGAAGTGGCCTTCTCGATGTGGAGCTAAGTCTAGCCAGCATGGCAACAGAGGTAGGTGATGGCTCTATATCTGACAGTAGACAGGTCTCCATCGTGGACATGGCAGCCAAATTCTGCTCTCTCTCTTACACCGCTGCAGCCCAGTTGAGGTCAGGAGAGTGTTACCCATGGACCAAGGAGTGCAATTTGGTCCCCTGGGTGCCATGAAGATGCTGAAAGTGTATCAAAGGGATATTGTCATGATAAAAATCATATAAAAATAACAGCTGAGATTCTCAGCTGGTGTAAATCAACATAGCTGCATTTACACCAGCTCAGTTTTACTCACCTGTTTTATTAATACCTTGAAATTATTTCAAAATCCTGAGCAAAAAATTGTTCTCTGCACCACTATTAATCCAGAGTAAACTTAATCCAGTGAGACTGAGCCAGATCAAATATCTTCAGGAGACTATAACGAATGTCTCCCAGAGATTACGAGTACGTTTGTGCTAGTGACTCATTACTATGTGTATCACGGCTTGTTAATGTTCATGACTGTGGCGAGTGACCATCTGCAGATGGCTGTTTGTATTCTTTTAAGTAGCAGGGGATTGAGGTCAGAGCTTCAGGAGCTGCCTTTCGTCTTGGCATCCACAATTATTTGCACAAATTATTGCAAGCCCAATTTTGCACCTGCAGTTACTTGAGGATGCAGTTAAAATCATCCCAGGGCCTTCCACTACACCCCAGATGATATGCATCTGGACACAATAACAGAGGCCCAGTTCAAACTGAGCTGCAAATACATCCCATTCAGTTACACCAGGCTGAATTTGACCCATTGTGTTTCTATTTGAGGCAGCAGTTCAGCTGACCAAATTACCTTTGTGTATTAAGATGAAGTGATATTGAAATTAGTCAAAGCATTTAATGGTTTCACAAGGCTAGTTATTCGGTTGGATAATTAACTCTTGTAGTTGGGATACTAGTTCCTATTAAATCAAATTGTGAAACAAAGGATAATGCCCCAGCCTTCTGTCTGTTGTAAAGTCCAGCAGCTACTAATTCTCTATCCAGTATTACTTTAGAAATATGGTTCTTAGAGATTAGTTTAGCCAGTAAACAGCAGAGACTTGGTTTGCTGGCGATGTATGCGCAAACTCCAGTGAAATTCATGCTGTATTTTGATTACAGCAACTCAAATACATTTTGGTCCTACAATGCGTATAAACAAATCAAAGGATTCTGTATAGATCTCCAGACTCTGCCGTTTGAAGATTTTTGTTTGTCTAAATCTATTCTTAAATTCTCCCAAACACAGCCTCCCCTTAATCTAATGTAGGCACAGTTAATACTTCCCAAGCCCAAGGTTGTTTTACAGGTTAAACTTTGCTCTCAGGAGGATTCCTAGGGTTTTTTTCTGATTTGCTGGTGGTTCTGTGATCAGAATCCAAATCCAGTATTAAATGGGACTTGGCCCTCAATATTAATGTCTTTTAAATACCAGACTTCTTGAAACTTGATGGAATTAACATAGACTCCAAGTTTCAGCACACTCAAATCAGCACAACAAATCTCTGCTACCAGGCTAGCAGTCCTCTCCTCATCGCAGCTCTGTGGCTACATTATTTGGGCCACAACCAGGGCACGCACCCACCCCTGCTGGGCTGACAGCTGTGCAGTCATAGCAGTTACAGTTGAGGTCAGGGTCACACTGACACATCCTGTTAGTATATAACTGTGACTCTTATCTAGCAATCAGTAACCACTTCATTTTCTTCCCTCTTTTGTCGTCAGTCTGTGCTGGAAAGCTAAAACTTTGGTCCCAGACAACAATGAAGTACAAAAAACAGAGTCTGGTCCTGTAGTGGCCAGACTGATATATTTAGGAAGGTCTGAGTCATTATGGTACTGAGATGCACTATAGGGAGAGGTGTCTGGGTCACAAGGCACAATGCTAGGCTACAACCACAGTAGACGTGCTGGCCATGTCTGCACTGCGGGGGCTATGACGGCATTGCCCTGTCGTGAAGATAGAGCCTACTTTGATGGAAGGGGTTTTTCCATCACTGTGGAAACATCACCTCCCCAGGCAACAGTAAGTAGGCTGATGGAAGCATTCTTCTCTCAACCCAGTTGCATCTATGCTGGGGGTTAGGTTGGCATAGCTACATCACTCAGGGGAGTGATTATATTGACCTACATTTTAAGTGTAGACCTGGCGGTCACCTCATAAGAACATAAAAATGGCCATAATGGGTCAGAACAATGGTCCATCTAGCTCAGTATCCTGTCTTCCAACAATGGCTAATACCCGATGCTTCAGAGGGAATGAACAGAACAGGGCAATTATCGAGTGATCTACCCCTGTAATCAAATCCCAGCATCTGGCAGTCAGAGGCTTTGGGACACCCAGAGCATGGGATTGTGTCCCTGACCATCTTGGCTAATAGCAACTGATGGGCCTATTCTCCATGAATTTATCTCCTCCTTTCTTGAACCCACTTATTCTTTTAGCCTTCACAACATCTCCAGCAATGAGTTCCATGGGTTGACTGTGCCCTGTGTGAAGAAATACTTCCTTATGTTTGTTATAAATCTGCTACCTATTAATTTCATCGGGTGACCCCCTGGTTCTTGTGTTACATGATGGGGTAAATAACCCTTTTTCTCCACACCAGTCATGATTTTATGGACTTCCATCACATCCGCCCGTAGTCGTCCCTTTTTCCAACCTGAACGGTCCCAGTCTTTTTAATCTCTCCTCACAAGGAAGCTACTCCATGCCCCTCATCATTTTTGTTGCCCTTCTCTGAACCTTTTCCAATTCTAATATATTGTTTTTGAGATGTGGTGACCAAAACTGCATGCACCGTTCAAGGTGTGGGCGTACCATGGCTTTATATAGTGGCATTATGATATTTTCTGTCTTATTATCTATCCCTTTCCTAATGGTTCCGAACATTGTTAGCTTTTTTGACTGCCGCTGCACATTGAGCAGATGTTTGCAGAGAACTATCAATTATCCAAGATCTCTTTCTTGAGTGGTAACAGCTAATTCAGAGGCCATAATTTTGTATGTAGAGTTTGGATTATGTTTTCCAATGTGCATAGCTTTGCATTTATCAACACTGAATTTCATCTGCCATTTTGTTGCCCCATCATTCCGTTTTGTAAGATTCCTTTGTAACTCCTCACAATCTGCTTTTGACTTAACTATCTTGAGTAGTTTTGTGTCATCTTCTAACTTTGCCACCACACTGTTTACCCCTTTTTCCAGATCACTAATGAATGTATTGAACAGCACTGGTCCCAGTACAGATCCTTGGGGGCCCCTGCTATTTACCTCTCTCCACTGTGAAAACCGACCATTTATTCCTACCCTTTGTTTCCTATCTTTTAACTAGTTACTGATCCATGAGAGAACCTCCCCTCTTATTCCATGACAACTTACCTTGCTTAAGAGACTTTGGTGAGGGACCTTGTCAGAGGCTTTCCTGAAAGTTCAAGTACACTATATGAACCTGATCACCCTTGTCCATATGTTTGTCAGCCTCTCAAAGAATTCAAATAGATCGATGAGGCATAATGTCCATTTACAAAAGTTGTGTCGACTCTCCCCCTAGAGCAGGCATATAAGCCACTTCCTTTTCCCATATAGTGCTGGAAGAAACCTGCATTAAGTAACATTAATACTTAGCATTGCATCCCTTGGATTTCAAAGCATCATTATCCCCAAGTTACAGCTGGAGAAGTTGTGACTTGCCCAAGGTCACACAGGAAATCAATGCAAGAGCCCAGTTTTCTGATTCCCAGACTGATGCCCTCTCTACTGGAGCACACTACCACCGCAGTGTTGGTCTTGGGTGCTGATTGGCCCAGTGGAGAGCCATTCTC